CGACACAGTTTTCCTCTTCCCCAGTTGTCCAGCCCTTTCAGCAGAGAAGGAAAGAAAGCTGGCAAGGAAACAGGGAGAAAGATAGGGATGCAGTAACTGCGGCTAGTTAGCTAGAGACCAGAAAGACTTCAATGGGTAAAACTGGCCTATTTCTCAGTTTATTCCAATAAATATTTTGGCACACCCATTTTGCACTAAGTATAATACACTGTGCCGGATGCTGGGGTACAGAGATGATTAGGACACAGTCCCTACACCCAAAGAGTTCACAGCTTAGTAGGAGAAGCAACTGTGAAAACCCAAAACGGACAGTGCAAGTATTACACAACAGAAGCACATACCAATTACATTAGTGGGAGTATATTTCTCCAGCTGGAGGGGAAATGGGTCAGTGAATTAGATCCCTTCCGAACTGTGTATTAAAGGGCAAATAGGAGCTTGCCAAAGAAGTGGCAATAACCTCCTATTACTCACCCATTAACCCAAACCAGCTTTACATACGCGCACAACGAACGTCATACCTGAGAGCTTATTAACGTAGGGACTTAATAGACTCCTACCCTGCGCTGTTTTCCCTCCATAGTTTTGGAGGGTACATTTTCAAACACTAGCCCTTGGAGTGTAGAACACCCAGTTCTCCCCAGCTGAGATGCTGCCTTCTTAGACCTGTTGCTTTACATTCTATACCATCCACATTATTTATTAGCTTGAAATTGAACCCAAGGCCAAAATTAATAATACCAAGGCAGTGAGCATCTGTAGGGGAGCCAATAAATCCTGCAACGCATTCATGGTTCTGACACACTCTTTATCTGTAAAATAATGACAACATAATCTCTTTTTCGGAACTGCAGTGAGGATTAATTATTCAGACTTATTAAATATAGATTGTTGCCCGAATAGAGTGTGGGACGGGATCCTAAATTGTGATTCAATCTAAGAAAAAAAGAATGAGTTTGAGGGGCGTGATTCCCCTCTCTGTATAGTAGAACTTTGTAATATATGATTACTAAGGCACCCAAGTTACTACATCGTCTTCAGAAAATTATGCCCAAAGGGCTTTTGCTGCAAAAAAGAATTCAATGGACACCACTATGAAGATAATGTCACCTATTTAAACATCTTTCCCTCTCCTCCCTAGAAATTATATAAGCTAACAAAGAGAACGGAGAAAAACATCAAATGCCATTTTTGGCAAACTTATACAGATTTTATTCACAAACTCTAAAGTACCCATAAAGATTGCTAAAAGCAGCTGGGTTTCCGCAGAAGTCATATAGAAAAGGCCCAGGGAAGAGAGTCAAAGGAAACCAACAGTAGGGACATTAGAAAGTACCAGTAAAAAAAATGTTTCCTGAAAGTGAGAGGCTTACCATAAAATGCAAAGCAGCTATGCCTCTTAAAAAATGGAACAGAAGCAGAACCAGTAAGGCAGAAGAGGCACACAGAGATGGGGAGAAAGGGCACTGTTTCCAGGGGACCCAATAGCAGCAGGTCAGCAAAACTATAATCCTTGAAGATGAGGTCATTATTATGATGTGTCGAAGACCTCTTCCTTGTTTATAAGAACTGGGGAGCACAGGACTGTTGGCAGATGGCCTCCTGAACCAGATTTACTTTAGGGACTCAGAGGGAGTGAGTCTACAGAAAAGCCATAATAACTGGAAGCAGTCTGTTTTGGAGGCAGCAATAACAGTGAATCTGTAAATTATTGCTGCATGAAAAACCACCCAAAGTGATGGTTGAAGAAGCTACCAATTATTTGCCTAAAATCCAGTGAAGTGACAAATTGGGATGGGCTCAACTGGGGTGGCTTATCGCTGCTCCATACAGTGTCAGCAGGTCTCATTCATGTTTTTGGGCCTCAAAAGGGATGCCTTGGACACCTGGGGCCTCTTTCCAGGAAGGGCTTTTTCACATGGAGGTAGAAGAGTTGCCAGCTGCAAGGGGGAGTGCAGGCCCCAAGTTCATGCCCATGTCAAGCTTTTGCATGTGTCATATTTGCTAATGTCCCATTGGCTAACACAAGACCTAGAGCTGTTCAGAGTTAATGTGGGAGGGGCTACACAAGAGCATGGATATGGGGAGTTGTCAATTGTTGGGGGTGATTAATGTAACAATCTACCACAGAAAGGATGAGTTTTTTTTCATTAAGAGAACAGGAAGTTACCTTGAATCCAACATTTCAGGAACTTTCTACAAAGCCTGACCGAAAATATATAATTCTCTCAGCAGTGAGTTATGATAAAGAAGCTGGCACAAAAAGAATACAAAGATACTAAAAGAAAAATTCTGAAAAGGAACATCAAAACTTACCAATATATGACAAAAAAAAACAAAACAAGTTGCCACAAAGGCAATGGAAATTGTGACTAATGTATTTTGCAATAAATAAAAAAATCCAATAAAAATAGATAATACTTGCATAGTGATTGCTATTGCCAGGCAATAGTCTAATCACTTTACAGATATGAACTCAATAGATTCTCACTAACTATGTGTAACAGTGCAAAGATGAACACGAAGAAATTTAGTTTTTTAAACAAAATGTGATAGTGGATAAAATGCACAGTGAGGAAAAGAAAAAATGCATGCCAAGTTATTATTGCTCATAACTAATAATTATGTCCCAAATAGTACAGGATTATGAATATAATATTATTTGATTATAAAGGTAGGCACTAGAAAGCAAGTATATACCTTAATGCACACCTTTGTAAATATCAGAAAAACCATAAACATATACATATACACGTACTCATGTATAGATGTATACAGCAAAGAAAATCAACCATCCAGTAACACTTATACATTCACACACACACACACACACACACACACACAATTGAGACAAATACTTCTAAATAAATACATATTTTACGTAATTTTCAAAAGATCAAATTGAGTTAAAAGCAAAACTCAACACAAGATACATTTTTAAAAAGATTTAGAATGATTGAAAACAAAAGGAAAATCCAGGTTCTAAACAGATAATACCTCATCCCCCAATACATACAAAAAGTGGTAACAATAAAAAAGCAGAAATTTGACCTTGATATCAGGAAAGTTGAATTTGGGACAAATAAGTATTGTGTGAGGCAAAGATTGACACTTTATAACACAAGAAGTAAAATTCACAATGAAGATGTAAAAGTTATGAATATTTATGAACTAAATGCATCATAGCAGCAACTTATATAAGCAGACATTACAGGAGACAGAAAGACATAGATAGAAGGAGACCAAAAATAGAAGAATTTTACTCACCTCCCTCAGTCTAACTCTGGGTATGACAGACTCTGTGCCTCAAAAGTAGAAATTACATGTTCCTTTTAAAGGCTAATATCTTATTCATGAAAAATGGCCATATATAAAACCATAAATAAAACTTCAAAAAAATCTAAATAAAAAATCTCAAACAACATTCTATGATCACCATACCATAAAACTAGACATTAATAAAAAAAATCAGAACAACAAAAACCTCTCTGCCTGGAAATTATAAACAGAAAACTCTCTTAAATACTCTTGTGAACAAAAATTATATGATTTCTAGAAAATATTGATAAATGAAAATACTACTTAGAATCCTGTGACCCAGCATCAGCTTAATCAATTAAAAAAGCACCAACTTGAAAAGGTAGAAAACACTATTAAATAAACAGATGGAAAACAGAAGAAAAGAACAAAGTAATTTAGCAGAAGAAATTACTGAACTAGGAAAATTATTAAAATTAATACATAATTCCAAAAACTGTGACTTTTTTGAAATTATGAAAATAAAATATCTAAAATAACTGCTAAATTAATCAAGAAAAAAGATATAAATACAAAAAATAAAAAATGACAAAGGGTTAAACATAGAAGCAGATGTTAATATAATCCTAAAAACTAATCTACTATAATTTGTCTCCATCATTTTTTAATTTTGCTCCCCTAGAGGTAAGTTTAATTTAGTTTCTCTCTAGTGAGAAAAATTAAATTCTAAGGAATAAGATTTTGTGAAGAGGATGGAAATTTGGAGGGTCACAAAACAATGTAATATCTGAGATATATCACACCCCCTTCCCCCCCCCTCCCTGAGAATGAATGCTCTACAGGAGGAAAATACATTTGAAAACCTGGATAAAATGAATACTTTTAGTGGAAAATATGATTTGCTAAAATTGTCCCTAGAGTACATGGAAATTCCAAAGAGAAGAAATTGTAAAAATTCTGTTTCCCATTCCCCTCCAACGACTTACCAAGGCAATGATTTTCCCACTGGAATTTTACCAAAACTTTAAACAGTAGATAATTATGATATCTAAACTACTAAAAAGCATAAAAAGAATGAACATGTCAATTAAATTGTGTAAAGCAAGTGGCACTGAAACCAAGATCTAACACCATTTGCACATAAATAAAACCTATAGAAATAAATCTTACTTATAAACCCAAGAATGTAAGAATAATCAACATTAGTACATTTATTCAGATAAATAATCATAGAATGATCTGATGAGCAAAAAACAGGATTGTTTCTAGAGACATGGAAAAGGCATTTGAAAAATTCAACAGCCATTCTTGATTTTAAAAAACTC